TGTTGTGTGTGATTCGGTGAGTGAGTGCAAGCGAGCATTGAGTCGAAGTTTATCCGTTCCTTTTACCCAATGTGGGATAAAAGCGATATTTGTGGGCCCCTCGATGATTTAGTGATGACAATGGGAGTAGAACAATTAAGACATGTTCATCACTAAACCTATACATGGGATGTTTTATCATGATGATGATTGCCAAACATCCTTTTGTAGAACTACATACATTACAAAGGCCCTTATTTCTTGTTTGTTTGATTAAAGATTGGAGTGTAAAAAGAATGATATGGCCAAGGGATTTCATCTGTTTATCTACTTGCAATTAGAAAAAAGAATATATGAGCTAAAGCAGGTTAACTATATGTAGTTAAAGCAATAAATTGTTGATGAGGCTAATAAACACCAAGATTATCCTTATACTTCCAATTATATATGAGTTTATGTAGATATGTACAATGTATTTCAAATCTATTAGTTTTGCTAGTACTGAAGAAATCTTGTGTCTTATAAGATTCATACATAGAAACAATTTCTTTTGTAACCTATATAGTTAGGTTTTAATATTTTGAAATAGAAAGAAATTGTTAGGATTGAACCTTATAATATGATGATTGTCGAGACGTTGTAACGAAGTTTCCATGACCAGAACTGCAACAATATACTATGTTAGTGGTTAGAGATAATAACTTATATAATTCTATGATCAATATGCAGATGCTAAATTAGATTAGAATTATATAATAGCACACAAATCATTTGGAAAATAATTGATATTTTAGACAGAAATTACAAAGTATCTAAAAATAGATATGTAAGGTGCATCTAACTTACTTAGAATCTCCTTTTTATATGATAAGTCTGTTAATTTGGTAAATACATTCTCCGATAAGTATATGACACCTGCATTAAGTAGGTACATAATAAAAATTAGAAAAATCTTCTAGGTGCTGGTTTCACCAAGAGGCCTCTTTAAAGACTCTTCGAATTTGCGTTCCAAATGTATTCAATAAAAGGGCCTCAATGTTATATATCATCATAGATCTTTAGAGATATTTGTTTGACTCTTTAAACGACTTAACAATGGCTTATAACTTTAGAGTAAGTGTTATATCAGTTTTTATGATCTAACAATCTCCATCTAACTGATCATGAAGTTGTAAGGGGTCATTTGATAAGGCTTCTAACTGGGTCCAAATGTGGACTGGGTCCAAAAATTTTGATTTGGCAAGTTTGATTTGGCTTTTAAACTCATAGAATCGGTCCATGATATTCATCTGATTCGGTCCTTTCTCAAAATTTGAAGGACCGGGACAACTCTGGAGAAAAAGTGGAGATTACTCATATTGCCCTAATCCTCTATACGAATTTCCCCTGTTATCGGTCGACTCTGCACATCACTGTCATCTTCCTCCCAACCTCCGACCACCCTTCCTCTTCCTCCGACTCACCAGGTTCGTACTTTCTGATTTTGTTGTTCCCGTTTTCCCATTTGTTGTTCATGTTTTTTCCCATTTTGATGTTCTCATTGTCGATTATCATACCAGGGATGAAATTGGAATACGAAAATAAGAATAACTTCTGCAATAACACGTACAATAATATGTTTCTTATCTTCTTCTTCTTTTTTATGTTGTCTAGAAGTAGATTGATCTTTTTGATAGATTACTTGAAGCGTTAGATGCGTTCCTCAAAAACGCAATTAAAGATTCCTAGCAAGGGAAACAATTTTGAAATTAGAGATGCTCTGCCAGATGCCTTCTTGAAAACCGTTGCTTCTTCAAGAATCAATTAGGAATACAGGTGATGATCTAGTATTCCAAAATTGATTCACCGATAATCAGAAATCAAACCTCACGATGCCAGGATTCACCACTTTGACACCAAATTCATACAAAATAGAAGAAGTTCTAACAGTTTAGGGAAAAAATTGGTTGTATGATTGAATGTTCAAGGAATTGAATAAGATTACTCTCCCAAGTGATTTCAATGTATATTATGGTGTTCTTCAGCTTATTAATTGAATGCTATCAATTTGGTGGTATCTTTGATAGTCAACCAATTGTATTTTCTTGAATTATTATAAAAATATTGTTTGAGGGTAATAGAGTCATTTTACACACAGTCAATCAGATAGAAAATCAAACAACAAGTTCCAGTCAGAAGTTAACTCAGTCAGAACTTCTAACCCAGTCAACTTCTAACCAAGTCAACTCTAACCCAGTTAGCAACTATCAAACGAACCCTAAGTCTACTTCGGTCTCTCTTTTGATCCGTACTATTCTTTGCTTCTCTAAAAATTATCCTCTCTCTAAGCACAATACAATACATTCACGATATGTTGCTTCAAATTATTGTATGAATTTTTGCCTTTTACAAAAACCATTTGAGTACTTAATAACTCTAAGTTTTCATCACTTTACTACATGAAATCTAATGCTTTATGTTATTGTTTGAATTTTTTCCTTGTTCAAAAACCAGTTGGGTACTTAATAACTCTAAGTTTTCATCACCTTAAATCTAGTAAACATGAAAAGTGCTTGTTGTTCACTTTACCTTGTAAACCACTCTCACTTCCCATTGTAGAAATATTTGGGCAGCTGTGTGTTAGGAGCTGGAATTTCTAATTATGTCCTTTTCCGAAAAGCTTTCCAATCTCCACATAAGTTCTAACAAGCTATCATTATGGTCCTAAGTTATCAACTTTGAACTCAAAGTATGAGATCAAAGTCCCTAAACTACGAGGATGAATGTTGTGAAAATCTACATTTGTAAATGTACAAGATCGATCTTCCATTCTCGCTTACCACTTTGTAATAATAAAACTCAAGAGTTTTCAAATACTCTTTTCTTGGATTCTTTTTATTCTATGCTCAAACAAAAATTAATTGATATTTCAAGTGTTCGATTTTAAAAGTAAAAGGACCAGTCATTACTGTACTAGACCCTTTGAGACCTAGTTTATAAGGGCCCAAAGATATAAACTTATCTCTATTGGCCCAAGTTGGAGAACATTTTGTAATCGATATAAAATTTATGAATACGATTTAAAATTATGATAATTGATTTGAAAGTATTTCACCTAAATTATTCTGAATTCAACAAAAAAAAAAAGAACTAGATTAATCGGGTTGATATGAGAAAGTAGATAAAAAAAATTGCTTTAAAAAGACTGATGTTGAAGGTAGAGGTAAATTAATTAACTATCTGTTACATTAATTTTCAAAACAAACAATTAGAGGTCCATATGATCAGTTTGTAATCAAATAAATTGACTTGTTAGTAAACCAAAGCATAATCAACGTTTCTCACATATCCACTACATGTTTTTATATTATTTATTAATTGTAAATACAAAATAAATTAATTATGATACTTTGGGAGGTGTATATTAACTATGGTCGTATGTTTAAAATAATTATATTAGATAAAAGTAATAATAAGTTATATATATATATATAG